CTGAAGGAGGAACTGGAGAGAATGTGAAAAGTAAAGGTTGAAATGATCTCAGTAGTGGTAGGAGTACTTGGGGCTATGATTCCTAAGCTGGGAGAGTGGCTCCAACAGATCCCTGGAATGACATCAGAGCTCTTGGTCCAAAAGGTTGTAATGCTAGGAACAGCTAGCAAAATTCTGAAACTCCCAGGCCTCTGGTAGAGGGCTTGAGATTGAAGAAGACACAAACCACCCAAAAGGATGAGAAGGGATTTTTAAAAATTTTATATACACATATACATACATATATCCATCCAGATTTACTTATTAAGATAGGTGGCTACAGAAATCAAACAAACCAATAAATAAAATATGTATAGTAAAACCTTGGTTTATGACTTTGTGTTGAGTAAGCCCAGGAAATGATAATGTATTCAATTAATCCTGGTAAAACAAGATATGGTAATGCAAGATATGGTATCCATTATTGCCTCTGTAGCTGAAGTTTTAGTGACATGAGTTTCCAGTGCATACTCAAATCTTACCACAAGCAGACCTTTCTTTATTTCAGCTTTTCCAAGTTGATGCATAAACACTTTTCAGTAAGGAAAAATAAAAGGCAGTACTTTGGCTTGAAGAAGTAATATAGGGGAAAAGTTAGCTTTCTGATTTTTTTCCTTCTGTAGCTCTAGTGCAGGGGTGTCAAACTGCCGACCCACGGGCTGGTTTCATCATACCGAAGCCGCGCCCACCCCATTGCCAGCAATGCAAAAAGAGTTGCGATATGTTGCGACACGTCAGGTGACATGGCGAGTTTGACACCCGTCTCTAGTGCTTCCTAAAGTAACAAGATGTGATTTAGAGTTGGGTGATCTTTATTTCTTATAAAACTATGGCAGATCTATGAAATGTTACAGATTCAAATTCCATGGAACTTACCTGAAAAAGTAGGTGCTATCTTTATATCAATAATGATGCTGTTGAAGATCCTCCTTTAGCCATTGCACTCAGTGCCCTCTTTTCTTGCTTTTAGGAAAGAAGCCCTCTAAAGCCAGTTGTTTTTTGTTTGGATGAATACTAGTTGATTTTGATTGTTTGTAATCAAGTTTTAAATTATTTTTAATTCATTTTTAGTTACAATAATTTACTCTATTTGACAAGTAAATGTCCTCATTTGGTTTGGAATAATATTTATGAAGGTTTGCAAATGTAAAAAAGATTCCTCTTGCCCTCAAAGAGCAAGGACATCTCATCCCTCACCCAAGCAGATACCATTTTTATATTTTAAGCACTTTTATTGTAAGAAGGGAGGGTAAGTCACTTCAGCATCCTACTGGATGAGAGTGGCGTCTAAGTACCAGTAAGCACCTAGAACAGCAAGTTTAAAATAGTGAAGTATAGGGGATGAGGGAGTTAAGCAGCGTGGTTTTGCATCTGTGCTGAAATATTATATGTGCAGCCACATATAACGTTGTGTTGAGATGAATAGTACATTCTGGTGAATGTTGAAGTGAAACACTAAAATCAAACTCTTAGATTCCTTCCATTGGCTTTTGAAATGAGCTCCAGGAAGTCTTAACCAACTGTTAAAATAAACGTTTAATGAAGTTATGTGAAATATGTGTACTCTCAGAGTGTTGGTGAATGCCTTACATATACCTTGTTCAATGAAAAATATATATACATAATCAAATAACTGAGTGTTGCTTTGGGAGTTGGAATACTTTTGAAATGGGCGTTGTTTTTATGGAAACTTTTTAAACATTCCACAGGTATTTGTGTTAATGCACTTATCCAAACCAATACATAAAATGGGGAACGTTTTTAAAAGGAAGAGTTTAATTGCTAAAATAAGAGATGTTTTTGCAGAGTAAGTTGTTTGGTGATGTGCTATGGGAATTTCTGCCTTATTCACAAAATTCTGTAGGCTCATTCAGTAATTAAATTAATCAGCATCTAACTGGAAAATTCATGCAGATGGTTATAAAAAGTAAATAAACTAAAAACACGAGCTGGGGATTTAGTGACCTTGACTACTTTTGAGTGATGTCAGCTAATCAGTAAAGCTGTTGAACTGCAGAGTAAGCAGACTCGTTTTAATTAAGCGTGTAATTATATTATGGTACTTTGTATCATGAAAACCCAGGAAATTAAGCTAATTGATCAAACTATGATTGTTAATAGAGTTCACATTAGAATTCCATGGAATCTGGCTATGTCCAGCCTTTGAGGACCCTATTCTTGCTGAAAATAAAAAGATAACATGAAAACAAAATAAGAGCTCCTAAAAAGGGAGAGAAAGCAATATTTTTTAGAAAAAATAATTTTAAAAAGCAAATGGCCACATTTGAATTCTTTTGAGAAGAAGGCTAAATGGTCATCCTCTCTGTCACTCTGCCCCACTGCCTTGGGGAGGGTATGAGAATCCCTGATTACAAGAGTCTTATTTTGTTCTTTGTCTTTTAGCTTATTGTAACCCACCCTGGCCGTAAAAATGCTATAAACAAATCAGTAGACCAGAGATAATCTATGGTGTAAACACAGAAGTTTATATTCTACAGCCAATGGCAACTAGGATGGGGCTTTTAGATTGAAAAAAACAATGGAAGTGAGGAGTTTGATTGGGGCTTTCCTTCTCAAGCTTCTACTTTTCACTTCCTTCCTTTCCCACTTATGGGGGAGTATTTATTCCCAGTTCTTAAGGTTGCATGTGAGGGAGTGATTTTGGTGGGAATTGCAATGAAGCATCACTTCACTGTGAAAAACCTTAGGTTTCCCGCATGCATATAATATGAAAGAGATTCAGCCTCATTTTTTCACCTGGATTTAAGGAACATAAAATAGAAACCCAGAAAGCTTTCAAGAATAAATAAATAATGGAATAAATTTGGTCTGTTGGTTAAGGCAGAGGTCCCCAACCTTTCTGGGTTGGCGGCCCAGAGTGAAAGGGAGGGGGATGTGTCCTTATGCGCTCATGCAAATGGGGCTGCGCTCACTCACGCAACGCTGGCTGTGACGCTAGTGCCCACATGATGCTGGTAGCAACGCTAGCTCTAGCAGGGGTGAGTGTGCGCACACACATGAGTGTACTGGTCAGCCAGTCACTCGGCCCAGTTGTGGGCCGCGGCCCACAGGTTGGGGACTCCTGGATTAAGGCACCAGGATAGAATGAGAAAGATTGTGAGTTCTATTCCCATGTTAGCCATGAAAGCCAGCTGGGTGACTTTAGATCAGTCACTGTATCTCAGCCAAACTCACCTCACAGAGTGGTTGTTGTGGGGGGAAACAAGAGGAGGAAGGTATGTTGAATTGAGTTGAGATGTAAAAATCATAAAGATGGGATCCAAATAAATAAATAAATACATTACAGAAAGATGCACAAATAAGTCTACAGTATTTCCAGATACAGAAAAGTGCTACCATCTCACCATCCCTTGATTTTTTATAATCCAAATCTATAAGCCCCAATGCCAGAAAAGCTCTGTTTTGATGATTAATTTATAAAAAACACAGTACCTTTGAAAAGCATTTACTTGTGTGTCCTTATGTGGTAGCAGCTCTCAACTGGGCGCCAGTTCTTAGTATTTTTACTCAAGTACAGCTTCCCTCCTACCTATAGAGCCTTAGTTTTAAACAAATATTAGTACATAGTTTAAGTAAACACCTGTTTTCCTTTCATCCTACTTTCCTGTCAGTTGTCTAGGGCAGGGCTTTTCAACCTTTTCATAGATTGTACCACTTTTAGGACATGACAATATTCAAGTACCACCGGTGCTTAGCAAGGTGTCAAAAACTTGATGACTAAAAGGGGGGGGCGGCTTTTTGGCTTTTATTGATTTGTTATAGAAATGGCTAGTTTATACCATTATGGAAAAATAAAAAGTTGAGGTTCGATGTTAATGCTTCATTCTACTGCAATAGAGGAAGTCGGGAGTCAGTGTCTTTTCTTTCTCCTTTCTCCCCCTCACTTTTTTTCCCTTCTTCCTCCCCACTGTATCCTACTATTTGCTTTTGTATCTTTGTATTTTATTATATAATCTAATAAAATGTTACAAACCATAAAAAAAGGAAAAAAGTATCGGTTTTACTCCTGCTTTTATATCTTCTCTCCCCTCTCCTCCTTTTATATCCTCTCTTCTCTCCCTCTTCCTTCTTTTATATCTCCTCCCTCTCCCTTCTATATCCTCTCCTCTCTCCCCCCCTTCCTCCTTTCCTCTTCTGGGTGCGCTGGAAGCGCTGATCAGCTGGAGTTGCGTGCGCTGATCCTGGGCTCTCAGCAGAGCCCCAGCAACACCGCAGCTCCAGCTGAATCTTCGCCCGAAGACTGTGTGTGGCTGCCGCTGCTTCAACTCATCCATTTTTACACTTGTTTTTACAGTGCTTTTCAATCCGTCATACGCCTACTACCTGCCAGGTGCCGAAGTACCACCAGTGGTACACGTGCCACAGGTTGAAAAGCCCTGGTCTAGGGGACCAGTTCCTAAAACAAAAAAGAAAATATAGAGTCCTAATTTTTGATGCCTAGACTCATTGATAGGAAAGAAGATACACCTTTTATTTGCACCCCTCCCTTAATCAGTTTGGCTACAGATCTCATTGCAAAGGTAACTAAAACTGAAACATTTTGTGAAAAATTGTTCATGAAAATATAATAATAATAATAATAATAATAATAATAATAATAATAATAATAATAATAATAATAATAATAATAATAAAGTTGGAAGGGACCTTGGAGGTCATCTAGTCCAACCCCCTGCTCAGGCAGGAAACCCTATACCATTTCAGACAAATGGCTGTCCAGTCTCTTCTTAAAATCTCCCAGTGTTGGAGCATTCACCGCTTCTGGAGGCAGGTTGTTCCATTGGTTAATTGTTCTAACTGTCAGGAAGTTTCTCCTTAGTTCTAGGTTGCTTCTCTCCTTGATTAGTTTCCATCCGTTGCTTAATAATAATGTAGCCAAAATTGGAAGGACTATTAAGAGGTAGCAAACAGACTTTAATAAGGATAATCTTAAATTTTAGGTTCCCCTGGTCATCCTGTTCAGGTGATTATCACAGACGTTCCAATTCAGCCTGATTCTCATCCTATCCAGTGGATTGCACCTGAGTCCTCTCACATTTCCAATTATATTCTTCGCTGGAAACCGGTAAGTCTTTTTGTCATATACTGATCAACATTTTCTTCATTCATACATTCAGAATTTCTTACAGATTTATAATTACAATTCAACTAGATCATAAAAAAAGATTTTATTTCTAAGTTTAGATTTATGTTAATACTTGGCAGTGCTTTGTAACTTGGCTAAGGACATACTCTGTGTGCTGCAAGAAATTGAGCAGTGTGTCAGGATTGATAGATAGATGCCTTAAAACAAACACCGCTTTTTCTGGACTTGTGTGTGTTCTCTTTAGAAGTTTGCTTCTTGAAGCAGGTAACAGGATTTATAAAGCACAGCCTACATTATTTATAGTGGTGACACAGTGGCTCAGTGGCTTAATGACGCTGGAATTGCCGGCCAGGGTGTGAAACAAGGTGAGCTCCCATTGCTCGCTCCCCGGGTCCTCTCCCCGAGCAGTTCAAAAGCATGCAATATTGCAAGTAGATAAATGGGTACCACTTTGGTGGGAAAAACTAATTGCGTTCATGTGAGCGGAGAGTGGAAGCTGGCGCTCTGAACCTGGCTGGATACAAGGCAATGTAACCTGAGACAAAGTGAGATTGGCAGAGATACCTGGAAGAGCCAGCAAACTGAGCGAGCATCGTTAGTCAGCTTGGTGTAAGTTAGTTCGCCCCCTGCGGTGTGCCAAGGATAGGCACGCAAATGTCAAATAGAATGAACTAGCAATCTAGGCTGTCAGAACTACATGGTGTCTAGCATTTGTAGATTTCCCTGACATTGTATGCAATAAAATAAAATAAAATACATAATTTATTTTAAACAAAGCCATTTGGCTGGAATAGTAATAGATGCTGTGTTTAATTGCATCAGGATTGGGTATTGTGTTTATCTTCCCTTCTTTCCCTCTGGATTTTTAATATTTTGATATTTGAGCTGTGCATATTTTTTATCTTAGAGCATATCTCTTCCTTTTCTTTTTTGTTTTTCTTTTGATCAAATTGTGCATTGTATTCTAACTGAGAAATTATCAGATTTCAACTATTGTCACATTTGCCATCCTTTACATGAGTATAAATTCATTTTATTCATTTCCTCATTTTTGACTTAATGAATGTGTGAATGAATTCTTAATTGGCTTTTCATTGGGTGGTTTAATAAGCTCTATTTCAGTCACATTCCTGTATTATTTTAGGATAGAAGAATGCTTGTCTGCAGTCAGATTTTAGGGCTGTTTCAGTTCTCCCAGGATTCAGTTGAAAGCTTTCCTGCACAAGTTTGTTATCTCTGGCCAAACTCTCTGTTACTCATCTTTGTGAGATACCAACAACTTGTCCTTCTTCCAAATAACTCACATTGCAGTCCCAGAAATCCATTTCTCCCCTTCCACTGCAATTCACGTAGAGTTTGAAGACAAAAATTAGTATTTGCTCTGTGTTTTTGCAGATGATTTTTGTTCTTTTCAAAACATTATTGCTAAAATAATCTGATAGAAATTAAAGCCAGTAGCAATAACCATAGTAGAAAGAAAATTGCAGAATTCTGTTACTGAGTATTCTCATGCTGATATCCATTATGTTTAATTCCATTAGAAAAATTCTGGAGTGCAATGGAAAGAAGCTAAAATTCCAGGCTATTTAAATTCCTACACAATCTCAGGTCTGAAACCTGGTGTCCTTTATGAGGGACAGCTTATAAGTGTGCAGCATTATGGTCAGAGAGAAATCACCCGTTTTGAATTCACTACCTCTAGTACAACAGCTATTTCATGTAAGTGTTCTGATTTGTCTTTATTGCATTTTATTACCCTGGACTGTTTATTTGCATTACAGGTAGTACTCGACTTACAACTACAATTGAACCCAAAATTCCTATTGCTAAGTGAGACAGTTGTTAAGGGAGCTTTGCCCCATTTTATGTCTTTTCTTGCCACAGTTTTTAAGTGAATCACTGCAGTTGTTAGTGACACAGTTGTTAAGTGAATCTGGCTTCCCCATTGACTTTGCTTGTCAGAAGATCGCAAAAGATGATCATATAACCCCAATACACTCAACTAGCATAAATATGAGTCAGTTGCCAAGCATCTGAATTTTGATCTCATGACCATGGGAATGCTGCAACATCGTAAATATGAAAAATGGTCATGTCACTTTTTCAGTGTCATTATAACTTTGGGTTGTAAGTTGAGGACTACCTTTTATATTGTTTCAACTGTCTATGTTAATGTAAACACTGAAGTTTACACAATTATGGAAGTATAGAAGTAAAACGTAATACATAAATAAACAAATAAATAAGATTTTGAAAGTGAATATTAACCTGCAGGGCAAAGCAATGTACCTTTGTTACATCTTTTAACTCTGTTTAGTTTCTATTCCTTCTGGCTCTAAGACAGAATGAAGACATAATTTACTGCTTTTGTAATTATGTTGCTGGCTTCTGGCACTTTCTCTGTGTTGCTGTTTTCAATCAAGATTACTCTTGTCTTGAAACTAAAATATAAATTCTGCTATTCTAAATGGAGTGCTAATAGCTGTAGGAGTTGTCTTAACCTCCATTGCCCTTAATAATTCTCCATTACCTCCCTCTTCCTAAAGAACGTGATTCAGTTAAAATTTCTTATTATGGATGATATAGACATGTGTCATTGATACTAATGCTGAATTAATGCCAATATTAAAGTACTACCTATAGCAGCAGTAGTAATGAGGATAAATCTGCATTCATTTTTAGCTTACATAGTGTTTTTTCACAATATATTATCAGCTGAGTATCTGTCCCCACATTTGCAGATATTAATTACTTTTTTTGTGGCTGAAAGTCAGACTTGCCTGTCATATATGGTTACTATTTTCTGCCCATCCAATCATGGATGGAAATACCTCTCTGTTTTTGAACGTGTTATTTATTTTTTACTATCAGTTTAACTGTACAGTTTATTTTATCAGTTAAAAAGTTATAGGAATTGTACTTAATTTTTTCATGAACAGAAACAGAATCAAAGAGTCAAGTCTCCATAAAAAATACTGCCATTTTATACTTTGATCTTTACTTTGCAGCTAGTCATGTGGCGGGAGAAACAACAGCCCTTCCCTCTGTCGTCTCTATTTCTGAATCTGTCACAGAAATCACAGCTAATAGCTTTGTAGTCTCTTGGGTTTCTGCCTCAGACACTGTGTCAGGATTTCGTGTGGAATATGAACTGAGTGAAGATGGTGATGAACCTAAATATCTTGGTAAGAAGATACCCAATCTAATGAATCACAGAATCAGATGGCATAAATAAAGTTAATCTCTCATATCCTTATCTTGTATAACTAGCCTGGATAGTATCTGCTATTCAGACTCCAAACCCCATAAGCCTGAATCTGAAAGTTCATAGAACTTCTTGAATGTATATTCAAATACATTTATAGTCTGCAGTCAGGCAAATCTCTATTGAAAATTTCCTTCAAAAGCAGTGCTTCAGAATATGTAAATCCACAATCAATGCATCTCTTTCTTAATCATTAAAAGGGTTTTGGTGCTCATGTATCGCAATGGTTAGAATGCAGTACTGTAGTACTGCCCACAGCCTAGAATTCGATTCTGATGGGGCTCAAGGTTGACTCAGTCTTCTGTCCTTCCGAGATTGGTAAAATGAGGACCCAGATTGTTGGGGGCAATATGCTTGGAGAGTGTTGTAAAGCATTGTGGAGTGGTATAGAAACCTAAGTGCTATTGCTATTGTTATGTGTCTACTTTCAAAGATACTCCATGGATGTAATGGAAGCAGTCACCCACGTCTGACAAAATATACAATATAACACATTCCCCAAAGAAGTCTCAATATCATAACCCAGGGAAAAGAATAATTAAAGTGAGTCCATACAGTTTCATCAAAATTGATCTGGAGCTGCGTTCTCAATCACCTTACATAAGAATGGAACAGTACAAACTGCACTATAATTAGAGAAATCTGGAACAAGGGAGAGCTTATTTAAATAGAATCCTTTTAATTATTTAAGAAAGTAGAAATATGTTGCATGTCCAAAGAGACATTAATCAATCTCTCTTTACTATGGGGCAACTGTCCAGTGTAATTAGCCAGAAGAGTCAAAGGTTGAAAAACAGGCAGTAGCCCTTCTTCCACTTCCTGAGATATACTGGCTGCAAGTAATGCATACAATAAGTTCAGAAAGGTGCAGTTGTCAAATTTATCTCCCTATGACTGGCTCCAACATTGTAACCCTGTCCATGGCACATATGGCACATCTTACAACAAGAGTTGATATCAATATTTGATAAAGCCTACAAATGAAAGCATCTCTTTCCTGTTTATCTCCTGATGCCCATACATAAAGATCAACTGCTTGGCTTCCCCAAGGGAAAGCCCCCTTCAGGATTGCCCCTTGAAGCACCACATCCCTTTACATGTGGGCAATAAAGGGGCTTCAGCTGGACAATCTTGGGCAGTAGCTACTTTCAGAATTTCTCTCAATGGTTATCCAAAATAAGACATTCTGAAGAAATTCATATGAACTTACGGAAGTATGAAATCTTGTGAGATAAAAAAGGAAAATTCTAATTCCATTCAATTTTCTTTTACTGTAAGTTTATTAATTGAATGAAATTTGTATTCATTTTCACTAAAGAATGTAACCTATGCCCTACTATTTTTTCTTTTTCTAAAGATCTTCCAAACACAGTCAGTTCGGTTAGCATTCCTAACTTGCTTCCGGGTCGTAGCTACATTATCAAAGTCTATCAAATTTCAGAGGAAGGAGAGCAAAATCTAATTCTTTCAACAACACAGACAACAGGTATGTTTGTTCACAGGCTATCAGACAGGGACAGATGGATGTGGGCATTTTCTCTCTGAAAGCTGGTCAATCAAATTTCTTAATTATTATGTCTTTACACAGCACCTGATGCTCCTCCTGATCATCTTGTAGAAAATGTTGATGATACGTCAATTCTTGTCAGCTGGAGCAGACCAGAAGCTCCAATCACAGGTCTGAATCACAGCCTATATCTGTTTCAGAACTTGGGGGGCCTGGGTGGATTTCTTCCATTTGTAAGAGGAAAGTGTGTTAAGCATATCTGACAGCCAAAGAAAATTGTACACCTGAAGGTGGACTGGCCTTAACTGTCTGTCTGGTTGAAACGGGACAATTTAGAATTTGATTTATAAAGCGGCCTTTTTCTTGTTTATAAATTATACTTGATGTAGACTCACTATATCCCCAAACTATGATTTACCAAAAAAGGATGGTCTGATGGGTAGTTTAGCATATGGACGAACACCAAATCTGTTTTGACTGTGCTGTGGGCTGACTCCATGTTTTTGCTATACAAGGTTACCGGATTGTTTATACTCCTTCGGTGGAAGGTAGCAGTACAGAACTCAATCTCCCTGAATCTGCAACATCTGTGACACTCAGTGACTTGATGCCTGGTGTTCAGTACAATATCAGTATTTATGCTGTGGAAGAGAACCAGGAAAGCACTCCTATTTTCATTCAGCAGAAAACTACAGGAGTGCCAAGGGCAGGTATTAATGTATTTCTGTAATTTTGTGATTTTTTTTGGTATGTTCTCTTTTTTCCTTCTTGGATTCCAGAATTGTTCTCTTGAAGGCAGTATTTATTTATTGCATATATCTATTTCAGCGGCTCCCAACCTTTTCTATACCCTGCACTCCGAAAACGCTTCTGATATATTCTTGCACCACTTACAAAAGTTCGAAATAACGGCAACAAATTATGCATATACACTATAATTTTGACAACCCAAGTTTTCGCACCCCCTGGAATATCATCTCGCACTCCTGGTTAGGAACCCCTGATCTATTTATTCATTTTATTTAACAAATTTATATAGTTGCCCATTTGCAAAAAGTGACTCTTGACAATGTGCGATGATCTAATAAGACACATATTTAAAAATAAGCCTTATTAAATATATAAAACAACCTATAATTAAAAATACAAACTACTAGGCACAGGGGAAAGTAATTATAAAGAATGATGGAGTCATCTTAAAAAGGCTACATACATTACAAGAACAGATTGTTTATTTTTCCTAGTGTTTTCCCGCAAATGCAAAGTCCACTCTTTTCAGATCAATTGAGTGTTTATCCATTTGGTTGCAACAGGGACTGTCTGACTGACTTGTTATCTGAGCCTGACTTTGTGGGCTGAGAGAGAGAATGACTGTCTCAAGGTCACCCAGCCAGCCAGCTTTCCTGCCTAAGGCGGGACTAGAACTCACAGTCTCCTGTTTGTAGCCTGTGCCTTAACCACTAAAACAAACTGGCTTTCAAGAATTAAAATTGAATTATAGTAATTATAGTAATAATTTCTAGTTTTTGATACAGCAAATGTTTGCTTTTCTAGTTTTGAGTGATTCAAAAAATGAGATATATTTGCTTCTACTTTTTATCTGATAGTCAATCTTGGAGAATAGAACTATGTAAAGGACACTTAAGTTTTCCACTGTTTTATTTTATATCACTGTCTGCATCTCAGTGACAAAGATTTCTTGGCAAGATAGAAAGCTATAGGCTGGATTTGTCGTCAGAAAGAGCACTTTTCATGGACTGTCTCTATGGGATTTCAAGGAACATTGAAAAAAGAATCAGCGGCAGTTTTTGCTGAGAGATTAATTTTGAAGTGGGACAGAAAGAGGAGGGTAGTTGTGATGATGCATTGTCAAAGTTTTTGTTTTCCAGCATATAGTCTTACCATTCATTAAACATTTTATCTTGTACATTTATTTGGCTAGATGAGATTCATCCTCCACAGCAACTTCAATTTCTGGAAGTTGCCAGTGACAAAATCACCATCATGTGGAGCCCCCCTGACAGTGCAGTGATTGGCTATCGTGTGGAGGTTATTCCAGTTAACCGCCCTGGGGAACATGGTCAGAGACTACCCGTTAGCAGATATACATTTGCTGAGGTCACCGAACTTTTGCCTGGAACAACATACATTTTCAAGATCTACGCTATAGGACAAAACACAGAAAGTGAACCATTAACTGGAGAACAAACAACAAGTAAGTCTGTTTCCTCTAATTCAGTGTATCGATTTCCCACAAATTCACCCTGTCAGAAATTCCATCATTTCACAAAGCCTGTAATAAAAAAATTAGGATGAATCCATTGGCTTTGCTAGGCAGCAAGAGGTCTACAATCCTGTAGCTCAAGCCTTCCCCTCAGCAAACCTTTTCTAAAGGAGTCAGCAAGAAGAGGGGGATGAATTTCCAAGCATTTCCAGCATCTAAGCAGCTATATCAGGGCACTTTTTTGTTTTTATACAATGCACAAGTCTAGAAGGTGGGTCGGAAGCTCCAGGAAAGTAATGGCACTCCTCAGAGTGGTAACAGATAGAAGTAAACGAGATATCTACAACTGCTATGTAAGCCTCTTAAGCCTTTGTAAGCTTTCAGTTAATTCTCCTTGGTGGGCACTGAACCATGCATCAGTCCATTTCTACCCATTCGCACAATATCCTATAACCAAGGTAGTCTAAGCTGGTCTTATGAAAATTGCATTTTGACAACTTGGCATACAGTTTAAACTTCAAAAGTTTTTTCAGCACTTGTCACACTAATTTCACGTGTTCCTCCATTGTCTCAGAATAGATGAGGATATCATCGAGATACACTAGGACCCCTTGGTATAGATACTCATGTAGTATATTACTTCGAACTGGTAGCATCCCAGCAGGCATTTAAATACAGTTTTCTATTCATTGCCTTCCTTGATTCTTACCTGGTAATATGCCTCTCTCAGATCAAACTTCATGAATATCTTCCCCTTTGCCAAGTGGCCCACATGTCTTTCATAAGGGGGAGGGAGTACATATTTTCCACGCACACACTGTTTATCCCACAAAAATCCACACATAATCTTAGAGACCCATCTTTCTTTTCTTTAAACAGCACATGGGCTGCCACCCAAGACTTAGCGGCTTGGATGAAACCCCTGGCTAGGTTCTTGTCAATGTATTCCCTTAGCTCTTCCATTTCTCTAGAGTACGTTTTAGGCTTAGGGTAGGGTCCTGGTAGGGTCTCGATTGCACAGTCCGTGGGGTGATGGGAGGATAGGGTGTCACATTCCCTTTTACTGAACACCTCTGCTAGGTCCCAGTATTTCTCTGGGATGGGCTGTGTCTTCGGCAACTGCTTGGATGCCGCTCTCATGCGCTCACTCCCTTTCCCCTTATCTCCATGCTGCTTAGGCGCTTTCTTTGGGGGGGGGGCTCGTTCCCACCATCACCACATGCCTCACATCTTTCCCCCAGTGCACAGCAGGGTTTCACTTGGACAGCTAGGATAACCCCAGTATCATAGCCTCTGCCATCTTTGGGGCCACCACGAACCGAATAGTTTCTTTGTAGTTCCCCAGCCTTAGATGCACTGGCTCAGTTAAGTAGGAAGCGGGTAGCCCACCCACCAGGGAGCTGTTGACTTGCTCGAACTTCATGAGGTGGTACAGCTTCCTCACTCGCAATCCTAGGTTTCGTACTGTTTGTAAGCTAAGCATCGGGTACGAAGTCTCAGCTTCCCTGCCAGTCTCCGAAATTCACAAATGTACTCCATCACCAGCCTGCTCCCTTGTTTGATGGTGCAGATTTCGGACCTGCATGTCATCTCCAAACCTGGCTCTGAGCTTCCTTAGGAAGGTGTCAGTTTCTCCCAACTTGGGATCTCCTTCATTGTGGAGGGCCGTCACCCACTCTGCTGCTTCTCCCCCAAGATTTGCCACGATGGCATTCACATAGTTCGCGTTGTCGACTTATGCCAGCCTGTATCGATCCATGTGTACCCACACCTGGTTCAAGAAGAACGCTAATTTCTCAGGACTCCCATCAAATGTGGCCTTGATGGCAGGAGCTCCAGGACCCCCGGAATGGCCCAATATCCCTGCAGCCACCCCACTCTGTGAGGGAAAGGCCATGACTGGGTGCCAGCAGCCACTGGCTGTGGCAGTTGTTGGCCAGCAATTCCACAGGGTTGGGCTGCCACCCGCTGGGATCCAAGAGCTCCCTGCCCTGGACTGGGCCAGGCTGGGGGCTGGTGATCCGCAGGGGGCTAGCCGTTCCTTTGGTTGCAGCGGCCTCTGTCCTTTGTTGAGGTTGCAGTAACGGAGCCGGGATGGTTGCCGAAGGTTGGCTGGACACTATTCTGGAAGGCTTCTCCTTCCTCCATGTTGGCTCCATTCCCTGCACCTCCAATCCACTGAACTTCTGCAGCTGTTCGATGGGCTACAGTAAGCCGCCAGATACCGCCATTCTATCAGTTCTTCCCATTCCACTGCTTTCTTTCCTGTCCGTCTAAATTCCTGGGTGAACGTCCGTCTAAATTCCTGGGAGATCAGAGGGAATTCAACCTCAGTCGCCTTTGGCATGACAGCCCACCACAGCTCTACTCCTGTCTGCCAGAAGCCCCTTGCTGTTCTGGTCTCCTCCTGCACTGCTGGTTTCCAGGTCTTCTCCACTCGCTCCTTCAGGCAGGTCACCATTGTCTGGGTACCGGAGTCCACTTATCCTGTGTTCGGGGTCTCCTTCACCACTCCCATCCCAGACTTAGCTGCCTGATCTCCCTTACGTTTCACCCCGGCCATCTTCCCCTGAGTCTTCATAGCTCTTCCAGAGGCAACCGGACAGGCTGTAGGAATTCAGGACACCTGAGTTATAATTGTTTTGGTTCAGAGCTGGTTTAATGACGAGGTTCTGACTAACGAACCCAACCAAGTAAGTACTGACGAGACGATCCAATATCTTTATGTAAAACTTCATTGAGTACATCATTTCGGCACAATTAAAAGCAAAACCAGCACTGGTTATTTCCCCGTGCAAACCGCTACAATTAAAACACACAATTTCCCCTCCCCCTATTAGTACATTTCACATTGTCCAATCAAGTGTCAAAAGTTTGTTACGAGAAAGTGTCTCTGTGAATTGATAAACACCTGCTGAAATGTCCTTGGTTCACACAGTCAAATTTCTTGTTGTCTGGAGTCTGGATTGCATTTTCCCCCCTCCCCTCCCCCTAGTACGTTGGCAAGCTAAGAAGCAGTAAGGGTGGCAACATTGTGTGCGCGCTTCAAGCTTGACACCTCAACTCTCTCCCTTGTCTCCATTTGTCTTGAAGGAGAAGGGAGGAAAGTCAATGTAGAGTATGGTCTATCTTTGCATGCCTGATTCTTTGTGGCAAGAAAGGAGAAAAGTATGTACACATGTACATGCGTTTGTCCTCCCTCCCTTCCTTGAAATAAGAAATCTTTTTTACTGTTCTTCCATTTCCACTCCCAGCCTACCTCTTCCTCCTCTTTGTTTCTGGTCTTTTGAATGTTCTTATCTTCTTCTTTTTTTTTATTGAAAATTTTTAAAAGTTTTATAATATAACTCCCCACCTCCCTCAAACCCCACCCTTTCCCACCC